CATCACCTGATGCCCTCAACCTATCATTGTTTGTTGCCTTTTGCTGCTAGAACAAATGCTTCGGCATTAATCAAGCACCAAAGTAGAGGCCGCAGGTGGTTACCTGGGCATATTACTTCTGTGTTAAACATTTAATTGATGGATAGATAGATTATCTTACAGCTCAGTAAAATCACGCCAATTGAGAAGTTTCACAGTCTAGGATTGCATAGATAAATCTTCTATAATCAATTATACATGTAGTGTAATGTTCCATTTTATAACACGTTGTATGTGTTAAAGAAACACTCCAAACAGCATAATCATTAAAGAGTGATTTTACAACTAACTGTGAGCTGTAGAGACTATGGTGCTTGTTGCTTTATTTTAACCAAGCTAATACTGTAAATAAACCTTTTGCATGACTATCTAACACTAGAGATGTGGCTGAGCGTGGGTTTCATTCGTTGTGCTGTGATAATGTACGAAGGCCGGGATTTAATGCTAGTGAAAGGGACTTAATTTATTTTACTTTAATAACATTCAATTTTAGAGTTAGTAGGAGAGGAAATATGGTTTTCATATACTTTTAAAGAGCAGTTTAAGGGAATATCAGAGATTAAAATGGAATTTAGTTATTTTACATGGCTCTCCTGTCTCTGTGAAATGCCATCATTAAGTATGTTACATACAGAGCTTTATATTTTTGGAGCTCTTATAATCTCTTACTCCCTTGCGGTGCACATTTCAGTTTCAGTTTCCTATTGGCTGTGCCAGTAACTACCTCCGGGTTATTTAGAGGATCTGTACGTTTCCTGTGATAGTGGGAAAGGAATAGTCATTGAGTGAATAACGTATTCAGCATTTAATGTTTCTGCAATACTAGACATTATCCAGTTATTGCTTAGGCAGCAATGGGGCACGATCAGCTCAGGAGGTAAGAAGGGAGGGGGGATATTTATTAACTAATCTGCCCCCACCTCCACTCCCACAAATCACCCAAACATACAGCACACATCCACACATACAGCACCCACAAACATACAGCACCTACACACACACAGCAAACAAACATCACCCACACACACACACACACAGCATCCTCACACATACAGCACACAAACAGAACACACATCACACACATCACACACAGCACCCACAGCACCAACACCCACACATACAGCACCCTCACAAACACACACAGCACACAAACAGCACCCTCACACACACACAGCACACTAACAGTACCCTCACAAACACAAACAGCACCCTCACACAGCACACTAACAGGACCCTAACAAGCACACACACACAGCACACTACCAGTACCCTCACACACAAACAGTACCCTCACACACAGTACATTAACAGCACCCTCACAAGTGCACACACACACAAACACCCTCACCCACATAGCACCCTCACACACTACACACACACAGCAGTGTATGTGTGTATATATATATATATATATATATATATATATATACATACATACATATATATATACGCGGCATGTGCTTGTGCTTTAGGGTGCACACCCTAATGCAATAGGCTGCGCACGCCTATGTTTATAATTATATCCCATAGCTCCCATTAATCCCGGGATTTTGCCAGTAATTCAGATCGATTACACCTTTGCTTCTCTCTGGCACATATTAAATACTGAACAGAGTTTGTTTCTTATTATTGTTGTTTGTTTTTTTGAGGTTTTTATATTTTATCCCCTTAAGGACCGGCCTGTTTTGGCCATGTTGTACGTTAAGGACCAGAGCGGTTTTCTTGTGTTTGTGTTTAGCTGTAATTTTCCGCTCTCTCATTTGCGTTTCCCATACAAATTATATATTGTTTTTTTCAGGACAAGAAGGGCTTTCTTTATATACCATTATTTGTATCATGTCATATATTTTACTTTAAAAAAAAATATAGTGAAAAATGTTAAACAAATACATGTTTTTTACTTGAAAAATATTTTACTTATCTACAAAATCTAATGAAAAAAAATTTGTCCTGAGTTTACAAATACCCAGTTTTTACCTGCTTTTTTTTTTGCAAGTTATAGGACTGTAAGTACAAGTAGGAAATTGCTGTTTCAAAATATATCTTTTTTTATTTATCAATAGTGACATTGTAACACTGTTATCTGTTATAAATCCCCGAATCACACCTCACATGTACATATTTTTTTAAAGTAGACAACCCAGGGTATTCAATATGGGGTATGTCCAGTCTTTTTTAGTAGCCACTTAGTCACAAACACTGGCCAAAGTTAGCATTTATATTTGTTTGTGTGTTAAAAATGCAAAAAACGCTAACTTTGGCCAGTGTTTGTGACTAAGTGGCTACGACAAAGGCTGAACATACCCCATTTGCAATACCTTGGGTTGTCTTCTTTTGCAAATTGTATGCCATCATGGGGGTAATTCTCATTCCTGGGCTAACATACGCTCTCAAGGGCAACATAACCAATCTGACAAATTTCAATGAAAAAAAAAAAGTTAAATCAAACCTTATATTTGACCCTTAACTTTCAAAAACACTATAAAACCTGTACATGTGGGGTACTGTTATACTCGGGAGAATTCACTGAACACAAAATATTAGTGTTTCAGAACAGTAAAACGTATCACAGCAATAATATCATCAGTGAAAGTGCTGTTTGTGTGTTAAAAATGCAAAAAACGGCACTTTCACTGACAATATCATCGCTGTGATATGTTTTACTGTTTTGGGTGCTGTTAATGTACCCCCCATGTACAGGTTTTAGGGTGTCATAGAAAGTTACAGGGTTAAACACAGTGCTAGCAAATTAAATTCTGTGGACTTTCGGCCTGAGTTGTCAGGCATGTCCTTTAAATTGTAATCAATAAAATTACTTAATTATGTAAAAATATTACATAAATATGCATGTAGAATTTAAATATACATATTTATATATTTGAAGTCTACATGTATATTTATGAAATTATTTATGTAATTATGTATATGGACATATGTATATTTTGTATTATTTTTATTTATTTATTTATACATAGATATATATATATATATCATTTCATTCTAAGTGTATTTTGATATAAATATATATATATATATATATATATATATTAATATCAAAATACCGTTAGAATAAAATTATATCTATATATATATATATATATATATATATATATAATTTTTAAACATTATTAAAAATTGTTTTTCCATTGTTGTATTTATTTTTTATTTACTTAGTATTTATATTTTATAATATATATATACTATATATAGTTATTATATATATATATATATATGTGTGTGTAATTTAATTATAAGTGTATTTTTATATTTATATATAAATATAAAAATACACTTAGTTTGACATTATGTATATAAGATATATATATATATATATATATATACATAATATTGATATACATGTATATATATATATATATATCATATATATATATATATATATTTTTACACTGATTGATTTTTTTAAACTTTATTTTTGATTTTACAGATGCAGGGAGGCTGCCTGTCAGCACAGACAGTGCCCCTGCAGGCAGATACACAGGCACCTATTGTGGCCATGTGATCGAGCGATCACATGGCCGCGGGGTCCTAATATGCCGCGGGGAGACTGTCAGGTAGTCCCCCCAGACCGGAAGAAACGCTAATCGCTGCCGGGGGAACAATGGTGATCAGGTAAGGACCCCAATACCGTTATGACAGTCCTGAACCGTCATCGGTCCTCAAGGGGTTATGCTTTGTTGCCCCATGCTGTTCCATCATCTATACGAATCCAATTTTCCATCCACTCTAATGTTTTGTTGTAACCCTGACCACATTCCCATGTTGCTGGTGGGTGTGATGGCAATCCTAACCAAGTATCACGCTATGTAGGCACACCTAGAACAGTGCATGAGCTCAGATTGCTGTTGTGGTTATGGTGCCAGCAGGAATCTGGTGCTCTTCTCAATGTTTAGTGAAAATTTGACCTATTATTTAGGGTGCTTTGGGCACTGCTTCCTGTCTCCACTGCACCTGTAAGCTCTCAGCTCTGATTTAAGTCCAGTTCATTGACTGAGAGTGAACAGCGGATGCTGTCAGCCAGTGAACTGGCCTTGCATGGCTGGGCTTTGCTCAGAAAGGCTAACAAAAGCTCCTAGCAAGAGGGGACAGGATGACCCAGCAAACCCCAGGTGAGAAGTCAAAACATTATTAAATGGTTTGACTTACAATAGGGGGAGCCACGGCACTCCTTTCACCATAACCACTCTAGTGTGCATTAGTAGTTATAGTGCTTGGAATGTTACTTTTAAGACCATTAATGCAGTTAGCTTTCTCAATCCTAAATCTTAGTATATAATTATTATTACTTTATTATTTATATAGCGCCATCAGATTCTGTAACGCTGTACAATATGCATGTCATATGTTCCTTTTTCCTAAGACATGTGAAAGTGGTCATAGACATTTTTTCACTAAATGTCATTTTGTGTCACAAACTTAGAGATCATGATTTTGATGCTTGGTGTTGCTGTGTTCATGGCTCCATTTCACTAAACGAGACTATGAGAAGTTTTTGAGGGTTAGACCAGCGTGGTCACATAATGCATCACTCAGGTCTCCTCATAGTAGATTCCTGTACCAAACGTGTCATATCAGCTTAAATTAGGGGTCCTGGTGGAAATAGACTCCCCCAATGTTAACATTTGTAGTAGCTGCCACTCAATATATGCAGGACCCCCGATCCGCATGAAGATGTCAAATGCTCCTCCTGCATTAAGCTAATACATCTTTATGAGGACATACTGATTGGCACACTGCGATACTTACTGCACAGTGTTGGATTGGCTGAGATCATTATAACTGATGATCTCAGCCAGGGGAGTAGCAGCAGCAGCAGCTGTGGCAAAACGACACCGAGTGAGATATAATGTAAAATTACTATTTTTAAATAAAATAAAGTAATTTTACTGTATGTTTATGATATGGAGGAATACAGGCTTGTATTTCAAATGTTAGTGTTTTCTTAATGCACATTGAACTTCCCGATGGAACTAAGAGGTTTTAATGGACCAGAATTGATAATGGTATAAGTGGCGCCTGTAAATGTAAACAGATCGTACTTGATGCGGTCTTATGATACCAGTCAGTTTTTCACAATTCCAGAAATAGCAGGTACTTGTGTGTTTAGGAGGAGCCTAATGGAGTATTCTATGGATCAATATGAGAGGTTATAGCAGTGTTTATATGGTGTAATAGTAGGAATTATAGACCTCAGTTCAGGCCTTGGATGCTTTGGATTGGAATGTGAATGGACCATTCTGCTAAATATCCAGGCACTTTATTTTCTTTTTTAAATAATCATTTTAAATCTAAAAAGGGGTCTGTGCTGTGACCTGTGTGTCATGAATGCTCACTCCTACATTGCCCTGGAGATCTGATCTGGCCTCCATGATATATGTGCCTGTTGCAGCATTGACCTCTTCATTGTGCTGTTGCTGTGTGTGACAGACAGGGGTATGACACCATATACCGACTCCCTGGGGTGGCATGATATGGGCATACAGCTGGCAAGGTAAATGGGACCATGGGATTGGTGTAAGTATTGAAGGTCTATCTTGCAAAAGATTAGAAATAAAACAGAAATTGGACCCTGAGTGGGAGGCTGTTACTTTGCCCCAAAAATGTAAAACAGTTTTTTTTTTTTTTTTCTCAAAATGTACTGTTAAAGGACCACTATAGGCACCCAGACCACTTCAGCTTAATGAAGTGGTCTGGGTGCCTGGTCCAGCTAGGTTTAACCCTCTTTGCTGTAAACATATCAGTTTCAGAGAGTGGGACCCTGAGGGTGGGGGCACCCTCAGGGCACTATAGTGCCATTAAAACGAGTATGTTTTCCTGGTACTATAGTGGTCCTTTAACTGATTTCACCCCATGCAGACCTCTGCCACATGTACCGACTGACTTGATGATAACCTTTTCTCTTTTTACACTGATACTGTGACTATTAGTGTTGGCAGTGAGCTGGCATTATTGTTTGCAGTTATTTGGAGTCTATTTTAGTGGAATGGAAACAGGGGTTTGGGGATGAGCAAGGTGCTGGGGCTAGAACTAGTTGAGGGTTGCTGGCCGTACACAGCTGCAGCAGGTCGAGTAATTTAGCCTAAAATAAAATGTACTGGGCCAATAATTACCAATGGTGGACCTGGTTACGATGAGGGGTTTCATGAAGACTTACGTCTATCTGCTGTCCGTACTTCCACCTCTGATACTTCAAGACTTCTCGAGGGCTGCACCGTTCCTGTGGAACTCACTTCCCTTCTCCGTTAGATGCTCACCCAGGCTCCACTCCTTCAAAAAAATAGTTAAAAACCCACTTCTTCATAAAAGCGTATCAATTAAACTGTTAATAGCTCTCGACTGATTAGTCGAATACTACCCTTACCTTTTGTGTCATTTTTCCCCACTCCCTCTAGCATGTAAGCTCATTGAGCAGGGCCCTCAACCCCTCTGTTCCTGTGTGTCTAACCTGACTGGTTACAATTACATGTTTGTTCGTCCACCCATTGTAAAGCACTGCGGAATTTGTTGGCGCCATATAAATAACATAATAATAATGCTAAAACAATGTGGAGTTATAGGGAAATTACCTGAAGTAATAGGAGGCATTAAAGGGAACATTATATGGAGTATTAGGAGTAGTTATAGAGGGCATTATATGGAGTAATAGGAGGAGTTATAGGGAGCGTTTAATGGAGTAATAGTTGAGTTATAGAGAATGTTATATGGAGTAATAGGAGGAGTTATAGGGAGTGTTATATGGAGTAATAGGAAGAGTTATATGGAGTAATAGGAGGAGTTATAGGGAGTGTTATATGGAGTAATAGGAAGAGTTATAGGGAGTGTTATATGGAGTAATAGGAGGAGTTATAGAGAACGCTATATGGAGTAAAAGGAGAAGTTATAGGGAGCGTTATGTGGAGTAATAGGAGGAGTTATAGGGAGCATTATATGGAGTAATAGGAAGAGTTATATGGAGTAATATGAGTAGTTATAGGGAGTAATAGGAGGAGTTATAGGGAGGGTTATATGGAGTAACAGGAGGAGTTATAGGGAGCGTTATATGGAGTAATATGAATAGTTATAGGGAGTAATAGGAGGCGTTATAGGGAGTAACAGGAGGAGTTATAGGGAGAGTTATATGGAGTAATAGGAGGAGTTATAGAGAACGTTATATGGAGTAAAAGGAGGAGTTATATGGAGCGTTATATGGAGTAATAGGAGGAGTTATAGGGAGCGTTATATGGAATAATAGGAGTTATAGGGAGGGTTATATGGCGTAATAGGAGGAGTTATACGGAGAGGTTATATGGAGTAATAGGAGGAGTTATAGAGAGCGTTATATGGAGTAATAGGAGGAGTTATATGGAGCGTTATATGGCGTAATAGGAGGAGTTATAGGGAGCGTTATATGGAGTAATAGGAGGAGTTATAGGGAGCGTTATATGGAGTAATAGGAGGAGTTATAGGGAGGGTTATATGGAGTAATAGGAAGAGTTATAGGGAGGGTTATATGGAGTAATAGGAAGAGTTATAGGGAGGGTTATATGGAGTAATAGGAGGAGTTATAGGGAGGGTTATATGGAGTAATAGGAGGAGTTATAGGGAGCGTTTAATGGAGTAATAGTTGAGTTATAGAGAATGTTATATGGAGTAATAGGAGGAGTTATAGGGAGCGTTATATGGAGTAATAGGAAGAGTTATAGGGAGTGTTATATGGAGTAATAGGAGGAGTTATAGAGAACGCTATATGGAGTAAAAGGAGAAGTTATAGGGAGCGTTATGTGGAGTAATAGGAGGAGTTATAGGGAGCATTATATGGAGTAATAGGAAGAGTTATATGGAGTAATATGAGTAGTTATAGGGAGTAATAGGAGGAGTTATAGGGAGGGTTATATGGAGTAACAGGAGGAGTTATAGGGAGCGTTATATGGAGTAATATGAATAGTTATAGGGAGTAATAGGAGGCGTTATAGGGAGGGTTATATGGAGTAACAGGAGGAGTTATAGGGAGAGTTATATGGAGTAATAGGAGGAGTTATAGAGAACGTTATATGGAGTAAAAGGAGGAGTTATATGGAGCGTTATATGTAGTAATAGGAGGAGTTATAGGGAGCGTTATATGGAATAATAGGAGTTATAGGGAGGGTTATATGGCGTAATAGGAGGAGTTATACGGAGAGGTTATATGGAGTAATAGGAGGAGTTATAGAGAGGGTTATATGGAGTAATAGGAGGAGTTATAGAGAACGTTATATGGAGTAAAAGGAGGAGTTATATGGAGCGTTATATGGAGTAATAGGAGGAGTTATAGGGAGAGGTTATATGGAGTAATAGGAGGAGTTATAGAGAGGGTTATATGGAGTAATAGGAGGAGTTATAGAGAACGTTATATGGAGTAATAGGAGGAGTTATAGGGAGCGTTACATGGAGTAGTAGGAAGAGTTATAGGGAGCGTTATATGGAGTAATAGGAAGAGTTATATGGAGTAATAGGAGGAGTTATAGGGAGGGTTATATGGAGTAATAGGAAGAGTTATAGGGAGGGTTATATGGAGTAATAGGAAGAGTTATAGGGAGGGTTATATGGAGTAATAGGAGGAGTTATAGGGAGGGTTATATGGAGTAATAGGAGGAGTTATAGAGAACGTTATATGGAGTAAAAGGAGGAGTTATATGGAGCGTTATATGGCGTAATAGGAGGAGTTATAGGGAGCGTTATATGGAGTAATAGGAGGAGTTATAGGGAGCCTTATATGGAGTAATAGGAAGAGTTATAGGGAGGGTTATATGGAGTAATATGAGGAGTTATAGGGAGCGTTATATGGAGTATTACCATGGAGGGGACACCATGTAAAACACAGTACACAGAATATAAAGAAAAATAATCAGGTGCTCACTCTAAATCCCGGTCCCCAACAATCCAATATAAAAATAAATGGGAGCACACCCCAAGAAAATGAATCTTTATTCCATTCATACTAAAATATATCATACATATTACACAAATATTACCAAAGGAAATCCAAAAATGAATATATATGAAATACAAAAGACAAAACAAGCATTCAATCAGATAAAATAAAAACCTGACTAACCCGTACACAGGTCTAACAGCACAAGAGGCCCAATATACCAACATATGAAATCCAAAAATAGAATTACATACCAAAAAGAATGGCAGTACCAGTATAAGAGAAGGATGAGCGGAAACCAAAAAAGGCCCCCCTCCCAACATTTCTGCTGCGATCCTTTCTCAAGGGAGGATACGCAAGGGATTCTTTTTGGTATGTAAATCTATTTTTTTTTTAATTTTTGTATTTTATATCTTGGTATATCAGGCCTGTGTAGGAGTTGGTCAGTTTTGATTTTATCTGATTAAATGCTCGTTTTGTCTTTTGTATTTCATATGTATTATTTTTTTACATTTCCTTTGGTGTTATTTGTGTAATATGTAGGATATATTTGAGTATCAATTGAATAAAGATTAATTTTCTATGAGTGTGCTCCTCTTTATTTTTATATAGGGTTATATGGAGTAATAGGATGCTAATGTAGGTAAGGTTTTATGGAGTAATAACGCCCCGTATTGTGTATATATACTTCATGCAAAACTTGCATTCGTATCCTAATTTTGTATATGCAACTTTTATATATATATATATTTATTTCAACAGTACCCCTAGAAATAAACATATTTAAACATGGTCATTAAAAATAATAGTTTATATCTACATAAATAAAATAAAACTCAAAATATACACAAAGCACGTTTTGCGGAACATGCTATTCCACTTTTCATAATACTGATATGATTTGGGCAAAAGAGTGGTTTCTTGAAATACAGTGTTTGACATATAGCATAACCGCCCTCCCTCCCACCCCCCTGGTCCAGGTCCTACATTCTCCAATTGTCCATAGAGCTGCATCCAGCTGGGATCCTAGCAACAAACATGCATTAAGTGAAGTCAGGCTCTGATCCTGTAGCTCGGCTGAGTATTCCATCTGCCAACCTGTGATCTATTCACTCTCAGCCACCCAAAATAACAACTGAGGCAGACATAGGTTTTACTAATGTATGTTTCACACTGGCCACCTGGTATTGTTTTATAGTCACATGTGTTACTCCTTGTTACTGCAGAAAATTTCATTTGTTTTGAATTTGGCACACACAGGGTGGCATCCCTTAAGTGTAATTCATCGATCCATGTCATCAATCAATCCACATTAATAGCCGGAGGTGGAGGTGGCACCTGCTTCACTATAGTCTGTCATCCTGCTGTAGTTGCTTCTTAAAATAAATCCTTGGGGGTTTGAGTTTTTGTAGTCCTGTGAAATTAACATTAACAGCATAAGCCTTGTCCTTTTTTTTCACATTATAAAATTACAAAACAAATCTATGAATTGTACCACTGGGACCGTGTCACACAGTGCATTTACCTGTGTTCATTAAAACAGTGTCTTTTGTGGTTCCATTTGGTAGATGAGGCCCCTTGTTGGTTGTCCACCTCTGAGAGAGTGAATGGTGACCTCATATGTTCATGTAATGGAATGTATGCAGTGCATTCTCCAGGGTCACTGACAAGACAAAACAACATTTAGACATCCGACGCATCCTCGAGTGGGGCCCTCCCATTAGATGTTCGTACTATCACGGTGTTGTTATCTAGGTCCATCATAGCATCTGACCCACTCACTGGTACACAGCACATGTTGGGGTTGTTCATGTCATTCTGGCAGATCCCATTCAAACGCGTCGTCTCTTTGGCATCAGACAGTTTTTCCGTTTCTGGGGTATTGCACCCTTGGATTTTACTCTTAGCTTTTAGATTATCTCGCCAACCGTAGAGAAAAAAAAATAAAATCCCACACAAGGTGGACACCAGCAATATAGTAACCACCACGAAATGTGTATAGTAATTGTTACCAGTGAATTGAGGAGACGTTTCCATGTTACTGTCAGTGTTCTCAGAGTCCTTATGTGTTACATCCACCCCGCTCGGGTCCTTGACCCAATATTTAGCCACTTGGTAGGTGAAGCCATTCTCTGCAGCCCAGCACTCATACAATCCCAAGGTGTCTCCTTTAACGATGATCACAAGCGTGTCCTGAGACGTTACCATTTGCTTGTCCGAGGATTTCAACAATGGATGCTTCCAGGTGTATGTTGCCAGAGCAGAGTGTTGGGGGCATTGCAGTTTCAGGATGGTATTATAGTTGGCAGTGTAGTTAGCCACTGTAAATAAAGAGGCAAAAAAACATTAGTTGGATTTCCAGCTGTAAATATGTCTACATTTGAAGTACTATGTTAGCCATAAAAAACAACGGACTACAAGGTTTGGATAATGAGTGCAAGAGCCAGTCACACTATTCTGGGACAGTCTGTGTTCCTTCTATACAGCCCCAATTAATGAGTGTCAGAACCTGAGACTTGATTACGTCCAGTTCAGTGCAACTTTCTGGGAGCTCATTAAAAAGGACCGGTCTATGAGACGGAGTAAAGACACAAAGCCTGACCATGTTCAGTTCTCTGGATCCCTCACAGACACGTTTCACCAAGTGGAAGCTTTGAGCCTCACAGCATTTTCCTCCTCAGGAGCTCAATACTGGCTGTGGGGACTGTCAGTGAATAGGGAGACGGCTTGTGTCACACAGTCACAGCATCACGTTCCATAACACCCCGCATGTGATCTAGCAGGATGGTGCAGTTTATCCCTGCTCTGTAGTGTGTGATTACACATAGCTACGGTCTTCTAGAATCTAGATACAATGTTGGGATACTCTGTCAGGATTATTCAATAAAGTAAATCTACATGTATGCCAAAAGACCCAAACTGAAAACATAGGCTTATATAAAAGAAAAAGTCGATCAAGCAGGTTTGTAAAAACCAATTAAATTTTTTTTCCCCCTTGATATGTTTTTACAGGAGACTTAAATGTTCCCTCTTTTTTCACTGTAACCCTTGGCCCTACTTTTCTTTTTTCCTGACAGGTGGGAAAATCAGAGGGCAGCATGCTTAGCACAAGTCTTGCCAGTGGAGATTGTGAAATCAATTATAATATATATTATATAGGAGAAATGTCAGAAAAATACATGTGTCTCTAACATTGGACTGTTCCTTTATTATTTAGATTTTGCTCCCCCTTTCACTGTGTCATAAAATAAATTTTACTTCGAATTCAGCAATAAAACCGTCTTCTGCCCGCAGCACCACTGTGCCCGCCGCACAGAGAAGAATTGAGACAAAGGGTGCATCTGCTGCCTGTTTGCCAACCAGGAGGGTTTACACTCTGAGCAACAAAACAACTTTAGCTTAGGGAAGAGGTTTTTGTGTATATATTATGCTCCCGGCAGTCTCCCTGCTCAATTAGCTACTATTTAGGAGTTAAATTACTTTGTTTATACAACTCTAGTCAAACCTCCCTGCATGTGACTAACACAGTCACCCTACACATGTCCTGTACATTTTTAAACTGTTTTTATTACACAGTCTGTTTAATTTAGAATTTCTTATCTTCTACTCTGTTAAAGTGATAATTCATAGAGACTGCAGGAACCTTCTGTGATTAGTGTTCAGTTAACAGAACAGGAGATAGGAACGTATAATGTAATCACACTGTACTGTATGATCTAACTGAAAATTAAACCATTTTTCATGGAAGGCTGTATGCTTGGCAGCCATGGGGGGCATGGCTAGGGCTGCATAAACAGTGACTTAACCTGCACCATTTCTCTACATGCAGGCTCTAATATAGGAAAGTCAAATTCATTACAAATAATATTCCATTTCACAAGGTGGAGAAGATCTAAAGAAGACGTTATTTGGGCACACATTGGATACAGCTATTGCATGTGTGGAATGAAAATTAGTCTCTATTGAAAAACATGTAAATCATATAAACAATAAAGGTTAATGTTTTATTTGGACAAACAATGCTGACAAGGTGATATTCACTGATGTTAAGCAGGGGTGGGGCATGAAAAGGGCTAATGATTATACGGTGTAGTCATGGTTAATGGATTCCTGGACAGGCAATTCTGCACACGCTATATTGATTAGAAAGGAGATGCACAAAATTTTTAGTTTTGGCCAGGGAACCAGGAAAAGGTGCTCAGGTTATGCTGCTCGTCATAACGGGATAATACAGGAAAAGGCTAATGGTTGGCCGGTGCGGCCAGGAAAGGGTTAATGTGCTGCCAGCCCCAGGTGTTATCGCTTTCTGGTGGAGCAGCCAGGAAAGGGTTAATGATTGTGTTGAGCAGCCAGGAAAGGGTGAATGAGTATCCACTGTGGCCTCAAAAGGGTTACTGATTGGGTGGGGACAGGAAGGGGTTAATGGTTGGGTGGAGTGGCCTGTAAAGGGTTAATGCATTGCTGGGCCCAAGTGTTATTGATTTCTGATTGGAAGGGGGTGGAGACCAGATCTATAAATCAAATCCACCCATGGTGGGTGGGTATGAGGTGTGTGAGGAGGGGGACGTTTTCTTGGTTCCCATCACTGTTTTACCTGCGTGTTTTCGGACAGAATCTCCCCGGTGTGTCTGTGTGTTTCAGGTAAGAAACTTTCCTGTATTTTAGTAGATACATGGTCTGACAGAAGTATTTTATTAACTGTTTGTGTGCCAAAAGGGTGTTAGAGTAACTGTATGTGTGCCAGAGGGTTGCAATGTTAACCGTGTGTGTGCCAGATAGTAAGGCTATTAACGGTTTGTGTGCCAGGAAGGAATAAATGTTAAACTGTTTGTGCAAAACAGATTTGTTCGAACTGTTTACGTGCAGACGGCTTGTTTTATTAGCGGTCTGTGACCCAGAGAGCAGCAATATTAACTCTTTGTCTACTAGAGGTGTAAAGGTATCATTTTTCCCAATAATAATGTAACAGCTGGTGTGCCAGAGGGTAGATAACTGTTTGTGTGACACAGTGATAACATTAACAGTTTAAGAACCAGAAAGGACATTTACTAAATGTGTATTGCTGCTATTTATAGCCAGTGACTAGAGATATTGACTGTTTGTCTTCCTATCTCCACTGACCGTCTAAGGGTTATAGGAATACTCTACACACAAAGCACTCCAGCTTGCTGAAAGTCTCTACTGGGGAAAAAGGGGAGTGCTTGCAAAGGCTGCAGCCATACAAACTATTAAGATTAATCCCCCCCATGAATATATTCAGGTATACATACTAAATATTACATTTTATTGGAGTATTAGAGCAGGGTTAATATCATCAGTCATCTCCAGGATGAGAAAATGTTGTGGTTTCCATGGAATGGGCTGGGGAAAGTTTATTAAAC